TTGTATGTATGTATATGCATATATATTTGTATAAATACATGTATATATGTGTATATTTTTTATTTGATATATATAGAAATATATATACATATAACATATTTGTATTTGTATGTGAATGTGAATATATATATATATGAATTTTTTTCTTTTGTATGTATGTATATACATATATATATATATATTATATATGTATATATATATATAAATATATTTGTTGTATGTATATGTATATATATTTGTATAGATGTTTGTATAATAGGAGTATATATGTTTATATTTGTATTTGTACATAGATATGAATATATATATATATATATGTATTTTTTATTTTTATTTTTATTTTTATTTTTGTTTTTGTATTTTTATGGATTTTTGTTTTTTTAATATGTTATTTTTTTTAATTTTTTTGCAATTTTTTAGAATTTTTATTTTTTTTAAATGTGACGTGGCATACCACGTCATCGGTTAACGGACATTTAACACCGTTTTCAGATTGTGTGGGAAATTGCAGTTAAATTAGGTAGTTCGCGTATCAATTTGGCATATTAGATAATTTGGTGTAGTTTTTTGTCAAATTAAAAATTCGTGTAGGAAAATGTCACATTTTACAAAGTTGGTGTAGGAAAATGTCATTTTCCCTATAATTTAATATTATTAAACAAAATTCAATTATTTCAATTATAAAAAAAAAGCAATATCTATATTCGGTGCAAACAGAATAAATTGGTTTTCTGGTCAAAATATATATATTTTTTAAAATTATTATGGAGAAGCGTGGTGGGGAGATATTATAGAGAAGCTGGTTCCCGAATCATATCCGCATCGGTCGGCATGACCTGAGACCGTGTCGTAGCAGCACAAATATTCTATCCAATATATTAAAAATAATAATCGAGCATTCCAGATTTAAGTGAAGAAAATATCTGCCCTCTTTAGTTTTTGGAATGTATTCATAATACATATATATATTATTAAGAAAAGGAAAAAATAAATAAAAACGAAAGAGATTATTATTTAGACTATGAAAAGTGATAGTTTTTATTTTTTTAACTTTTGATTTTTGTAATAATTATAAATCCAAAAAATAAAGTTTTTGATTTTTAAAAGTTAATTTTTTCAGTGAGTTAGATTTTCGAATTTTTAAAAAAAACTTTACCGGTTAATTTTTTTTATTCGGATTCCAAAAACTCGATGTGCGTCCTCCTCGAATCGAATCGAATCTCTCCCTCTATGATTCCCTGTTCGTTTGTGCTTATCACTCCATTTGTTCGTGCATGTGACAGGGAAATTGCAATGAGTATGATTCTTAAATATATATATATATATATATATATATATATGTTTAGTTAGAAAATTTTTAAAATTTGAATAAGTTCACCACTCCCTAACATTAAGTAAATGTTTGGATAATATCTGCTAACAAAGCAATGTAAATTATTTTTTAACAAAAAAGCGCCCACCGTGGGGCTCGAACCCACGACCACAAGGTTAAGAGCCTTGCGCTCTACCAACTGAGCTAGACGGGCTTTTGATTGTATTTAGCATTGTTCATATTTATATAAAAACAATTTCTACTGAAAAAATGGATGAAATGACCAATGTTTTTCGAAGCTTTGTGAATCATCCAAACAAAATCATTATGGTAAATAAAATAAACAACAAATGAAATTAAACATTTGTCTTAGAAGAATCGAATTTTTTAAATCTATAGATTTTTTTTTTTAAATCTGGATGTTCATGAAAAAAAGAAGGCGCATAATATGAATGAAACGAATTGTTATGTATTTCGATTTTATTTTATACCATTTCGTACTCTTAATTTAAGATTCTATATTATTTTCATTTAAAAATCAAAATTTTAATTTCCTTTTTTTGCCAAAAGATTGACTTTTGGTGAATATATAAAAATTCTAATAATTGATTTCATAATCATTTAAGAAGCGTTTTAACACTACATATTTCTTGCACCTTTATATGTTTTCCTGATTCATTTATAGCATAGTTTGTTCAAGGATACCATGTATTATGAAAATCATATAAAATCATTAAGGAGTCTATGGGCCTCGGCCTATATACTCTTTTTATGACAATAAAAGAAAATTCAAAAGCCTAAAATAATGCACTTTGGCCCACAATATCGAGGGTTCCAGTGATTTCAATTTTTTTTTTTAATAATTCGAAAACTCATCAATTTTTTTTTATCTATTTAATGAATATTTTTCCACCTTTAAATTTGAACCGAGATAAAAACATATTTTGTATATTGTTTTACCCTTAGATCAATCAAACAATCATTTCAATATTATATACGCTAAAATAATAATTTGAAGAGATATAATACTTGTATATTTTATTTGTGATATATAGAGATATTATTCGACATATAATGTATGTGTGTGTAAACGAGGAAAGTTCAAAGTAGGAAGAAACTAGAGATTGTGAGTAATTGTAATTACATACTTCGCCTCCACGTTCTCCTCTCTAAAATTACATCCACTCATTTAATTTATAAACTCCAACATAGTTTATTTATAATATAAAATTAAGGATAAGTTGATATAATGTTTGACCCGCAAATAAAATAAAAAATAACTAAAATAACAATAAAAAAACCAGTTAGCCCATTGTTCGAACCTAATCGAGTTATTATTATTATTATTATTATTATTATTATTATTATTATTATTATTATTATTATTATTATTATTATTATTATTATTATTATTATTATTATTATTATTATTATTATTATTATTATTATTATTATTATTATTATTATTATTATTATTATTATTCCTGTTAACTATTGTTATTAATATTATTGTTGTTGTTGTTTTTCCCTTAGAACCAAAGAAAGTAAAGAGGGAAAAAAACTTCATAGATTGATGATTCCAACAAGATTTTAAATGAAAATTTTCATTTTCATTTTAATAAACACAACATCTTACGGTCTCTTTGGTTCTCACCTATCGTATATCAATTACGACTGATTTATCTTTCACGTATGGTGCAGATTCGTGTGTGTGAGTTTGAGATTTTTCTTGATCCGCATGCGGTCCTGATGCTGTCCTCATCAGGTCTATTGGATTGTGAGCGTTACAATATTCGGTGTCCGACCCGAAGGGTTGTGGGAAAAGTTCCTCGGATGTATATAAAAAAACACATCATCCTTTTGGTGTTTTGTTTTTTTTAATTGAAAATATAATTTTGTCCGCACTAGGGCCTATGGAATGGTCTAAGCTGATTAATGAGATTACCATCTTTAAGTGATTGACTTTTTTTGTCTTACACTTATTTAATAGTTCCCACTGTTATCCCTTACAACATACACTTGTTCTTAAAAGTCAACTCCTTTGATTTAGATAAATTCTTAAATATAAAATGAAAAATCACATTCCAGATGAATAAGAATAACCCAATTTACAACCAAATTAGCAAACTCTGCAGAGGAAAACAAGAAATTAAAAAAAAAATTATCATATGTTTTCCTAACTATTGGATGTTTATATATGCAACAATTGAACTTTCAAATTTAGTTTACTCATTATGTAAAAATATTTTCATCATGAACGAAGCTATAATCATGATTAAAATATTCAAGGATTTATTTATATTATCCCAATTAGAAAAAACAGTTGTTAGAAATTAGACTCCTATCTCTGGGTTTTATTTTATTTTATTGAAATAAGAAACCACTTATATGCTGTCTAATTTTACTAATTCCATTGGCCATTAGAATAAACATATAAAAAAAAGTCAACTCTGTCTCTTGTCTTCTCTCCTGTCTCCTCTTCTTCATCTTTTTTTTTTCCTCTTCTTCATCTGTCTCCCGACACAGAGAAACTAAACCTATTCCGAATACCTTTTTTTTTCTTTTTTTTTTGTTGTTGTCAAATGGGAAATGGAGTTGCAAGTTTGAGCGGCTGTTGCGCGGGAACAACTGCCGGAGAAATTTCCCGGCGATACGACGCCGCTTTGGTACACGACAATCTCGGGCACTCCTTCTGCTACATCCGACCCGATCTCACCGGGTCGCCCCATCGACCCGACCCGGTCACCAATTTCCGTGCGATCTCCGGCGCGTCGGTGAGCGCGAACCCATCGACGGCTCTGTCCACGTCATCATTCTCTTCCGCCGCGGCGGACCTTTCGTCTCCGTACAGCTCCTCCGCGTTCGAGAGCTCCGGATGCTTCGCGTCTCTCCCGCTTCAGCCGCTTCCGCGCGGCCCCACGTGGCAGTCCGGTCCGATCAACCCATCCGGGTCGGGTCAGATCGAGCGGCGATTCTTGTCGGGTCCGATAGAGAGCGGATTGTTTTCGGGTCCGACCGAGAAGAAGAAGAAGGAGAAACCGAAGAAGATCAGAAGCAGCGGGAAGAACAAGAAATTCTCTTCGAAACCAAAATCGAAGAAGAAATCCGTCACATTCAAGAGCATTGTCATGAACTTGATGTCCAGCAAGATCTCTCGATCGAAGAAAAGCGTAATCGAGCCGATCAGCGGTTCTGATTCCGTTAACGAATCGGAATCCGACCAAAAACCCGACAATCAACCACAGTCAAACCATTCGATCACTAGCTTGAGCAGCCATGAAAGCCCAAGCTCTGACGAAGAAGAAAGCACTGCATCCGCTTTGCAGGATCAAACCCTTCAATGGGCGCAAGGGAAAGCAGGGGAAGATCGAGTACACGTAGTCGTTTCGGAGGAAAACGGTTGGTTTTTCGTCGGAATATACGATGGATTCAACGGCCCAGATGCGCCGGATTATCTTCTCAGAAATCTCTACACGGCCGTACACAAGGAGCTCAAAGGTTTGCTCTGTAACGCCTCCTCTGACGAATCATTAGACTCCATTGACGAAACCTTCAGATCTTCCGGACCAAACAGTGAGAACTGTCTGGTCACGAACGGGGACACCATTCCTTGCGATGCAAGAAGTCGAGGGAGGAGTATGAAGTGGCGGTGCGAGTGGGAACATAACTCGGGCAATGACAGTGATGAAAGTAGCAGCAATACTAGTGATCAGAAGGGATCTGAATCGGTGATAAATCAGAAGGAAGTTCTTCGAGCTCTTCTGCAGGCTCTGAGGAAAACCGAGAAAGTGTACTTAGAGATAGCTGATCAGATGGTGAAGGAAAATCCCGAATTGGCGTTGATGGGTTCGTGTGTTCTGGTGACGCTGATGAAAGGAGAAGATGTATACGTGATGAATGTCGGAGACAGCCGAGCAGTTCTAGCTCAGATGCCTGATTTCAGAGCCGGGTTTGAGAGAAAGAGACGAGAACTGGAGAGAATCAAGGAAGATAGTTTACTTGGTGAGCAAGAAACCGACAGAGGAGGCGAAGAAACATTCTTCAGCCGATTTCCCAGTCTAGTTCCAGTCCAGCTCACCATGGAGCACAGCACGAGAGTTGCAGAGGTCAAACCCGATTTGAATTTCTTCTGCAGTTTCATTGTTGCTTCTGTTCATTCCATCACTGAAATCCATTTTCTTGTGAATTAGGAAGTGAGAAGAATCAAGAAAGAGCATCCCGACGACCCGTCGGCAATCGAAAACGACCGAGTCAAGGGTTATCTGAAGGTCACTCGCGCTTTCGGCGCTGGATTTCTCAAACAGGTAGATTTTTTACGCCTTCAAGATCGAACCTTTTATGTCAGATCAGTAGAAAAAACATCAAGATTTCGACCTTCTGTCTCGGATCAAATGAAAGAACGATTCTTTTTACGCTAATCCCCAAACCCGAAACCTGATCTGAACTAAAATTTTGACTGATCCATCGTTTTTTTCTCAGACAAGATGGAACGATGCGCTTCTGGAGATGTTCAGAATAGATTATGTCGGAACGGATCCGTACATCACGTGCTCGCCGTCGCTGTGTCACCACAGACTAGCGTCACGTGACAAGTTCTTGATACTTTCATCGGACGGATTATACGAATATTTGTCAAACGAAGAAGTCGTATTCGCGGTTGAATCGTTCATCTCTGCGTTTCCAGAAGGCGATCCCGCTCAACACCTCATCGAAGAAGTTCTCCTCCGGGCCGCCAGGAAGTTCGGTAAGAACGCAAACGCCAAATGCCAAACGCAAACGTAAACGCAATCGGATGATCTGTATCTGAACAGGGCACTGGTGTGTTTTTTTTTTACAGGCATGGATTTTCACGAACTGTTGGAGATTCCACAAGGAGATCGGCGGAGATACCACGACGACGTGTCTGTGATAGTGATCTCTCTCGAAGGAAGAATCTGGCGATCTTCCATGTGAATATACGAATCATTGGAAATTACTTTTTTTTTTTTTTGTTAATGGTGTTTTTGATTATTTCCCACCACATTTTTTCATCTCTTGTATTTTACCATATAGTGAAAAATTATATCACATGGTCCAAATACTTTGGTTTAGGGATTGCTGCTTATTTCGGTTTTCAATTTGGAATGGGCTCGATTTTCAGATTTGAATTAAAAAAAACACTATAGTCATTCATTTTTTAAATATTGGATTCAGGTTAGTTTATTTCTATTTGGATTCTGTTCGTATTTGATTTTATTAATAGGAAATATTTGCAGATTAAATTCAGATTTTCGATTGTAGAAAAATTACAATAGTTTTATATTCATATAACATTCGATTTAAATACGGCTATATATTATTCTGTTCATATGAATTTGATGTCATATAAATGAAATCTTCATCTCGATTTATATCTAAAAAATCTAAGTTATTGTTGCTCAAAACGCATCGTTTCAGAGAAATAGGCCTAATAAATTTAATTTATATGGGTTTAACTCTCTGAATTTTACTCGGCCCGACTCTTTCGTCATCGGTCATCTCCCTCCGCACTGAAAATGAATATTTCAAATAAATACCCATAATTATGATATATTTCCGAATATCACCCTGAACTCTGAATTTTTCAACTACACCCACCACCCCTGACTTTTTTTTTATAACGGAGGACCTCTAGTTACTACCTTTCGAACGCGTTGACTAGATAAACCTCCGACCGAAAGCAGCCTATGGATCATATAAACCCAGAAATTACCTCATTCCCCACCAGAGAGAAATCAAACACTCAACCTCAATCTCAATGTGGAGTTACCTCCTACCCAAGTTTGACCACTCATCCACGATCTGTTGGATCATCCACCTCTGACTTGGCCAGCACCGGATAAGAGATTATAAAAGTTTAAAAGTATCCATATGAAATATAAGATGACCCGACCCGTATATAAAATCTAGATGAAATACAAAAATTCAATGTGATGGTTATGTATTAAATGAATGATTTGTGGAGGAAGAAGACAAACACAAAGGGTATTATTATGTTCTAAGAATATACACTGCTAAAGCCGTCTTTTTAAAAGGCTGAGGAATCACAACCCTAGCCATAAAGCATTCAATTGGAATCTCTGGACCCAGATCCCAAACTTTTTTTTAAATATATATATATATATATATATACACGCATACATATGTATATACATATGAGCAAATAAATATGCATGTAGGTTATTGGCGGTCATCATTATAATGGGTGAACCCGATAAAAGAATATGGTCCCAAAATTTCCACGTGGGTTTGATTCAATACGATGCACCATGCATAAAGTTGCTTGTCTTCCATGTGTAAAAAGCAAACCACCTTTCAAATAAGCTTTTACAATAATATGTCGATACATAAATATGTGTGTGATTCGATACATATTGCCAATAATATATATATATATATATATATATATATATATATATAATGTCAACACAGAATCTATTTGATATTTCTACAATGCACTAGCGGACGAAATCCACTAACAAGTATAATTAATAGCGGACGAAACCACGCACACGTACGTACACACATAGAGAGTTATATATATATTACTTCAAAAAGAACATTGTTTTGTGAATCACAGCGTTTTGGTTTATATCGACCTTCAAATTAATACGGTCAAATATAAAAATTCCATAGAAAGCTTATGTTTACGTATTTCTATAATATATTGAATTAGATCAAATCTCTCTGCTTGTATAGTATGTTTTCTATTATTAAATAAACATATATATGTACGTACGGAGATATTATATAAGAATATTTATCTTAACATAAATGATAGTATATGAATATATATATATATATATGCACCGGATTAATAAACGGGAGAGTTAAGTTTTAAAAAAAAAGTGATTAGAAAAATGAGAGAGATGGGGCCATGCCATGATGATAAACCATGTGCTTTGGTTTCAAAAAAATTATACCATTTGATTTTTTTATTACAAAAAAATCAATAAATAGTTTTTACTTATTTTTTGTATTCATTTTGAATCCAATTAGCTTCGTTACAAAATATATCTAATCAATTTATTTTATATAAAATTAAAATTAAGCAGGTTTTAAATACAATTTTATATCTTATGAGACCCGTAGTTTTGAATTTTCATTACCGTAAACCAAAATTTCTTTCAAGTCTTTTTAAGTAATACTACAAAATTATTCGGAAACAATTAAATGTATGGCTTTTAAATACCATTAACATCTTTATTCGTACAATAATATTATTGCAAGCTATATATGCATTTCCGTTACGGTCATGTGATAAATAAATTATATTGTGTAATTAATATTTACATCACGCATATAATTTCAATGATTTATAATTTACAGATTGTGACAATAATTCTATGCAATTTAATCTACAACCAATATTAGTTTATAAACAAGATTTCAGAAACCACAAAATACTCTTTCACCATTAACAAAAAAAAAAAACTCTTTCAACCCGAGTTCGAATCACATCTTGAATTATCCATTACAAAAACAAAACAGGAATCGTATTGATATTTATTTTTTGTAATGTTTTCATAAATTCCGAAGAAATTTTTTAAAAAAAGATTTCAGAATTCGAATTGACGTTAATTTTTTTTTTAAAATTTCTCCATAAAAGAATTTCAGAAATCGAATTGACATTGATTTTCTTGTAATGTTTCCATAAATTTTGGAGAAACAAAAATTTGACAACCAAAACTGTAGTTTTAAATTTACTTATACCAATCATATCAAGTAAATGTGTGTGTGTGTATATATATATACATACACAGATACATGTATATGTAAATATTAACAACCGTAAAATATAAGACGCTTTACCAAAAAAAAAAAACGTAAAATATAAGAAAAATATAAAGAAAGTTTCTCCCGCCACATGAGGGACAGACCACTTGTTAGTTGAAATGGAGGCTTTCATGCTTCGGATCCAATGCACGTAATCTCTCCCTCCCTCCCTCTCTCTCTCTCTCTCTCTCTCTCTCTCTCTCTCTCTCTCTCTCTCTCTCTCTCAGAGTTCAGCTATGGTGGAGTTGTGTTGTGTTAAGGAGATCAAAGACGAAGTGGAGATCCGATTGACGATCCGACCCGAATTGGACTTAGCAGCGGGGCAAGAATGTCCGGCGATCCAGAACGGCGGAGACGATGACGGATGCATGACTCCGACATCGTCTGCCCACAAGATTCCGGCGGTGAAGCGGTGTCCTCCGCCCCCGAGAAAACCGAGACGTAACCGGTCGGTTAAGAGGGAATTCACGTCGTCGGAGAAATTAAACCGGATTCCGGTCACTCTCAGCCGTGAGATCGAGTTGTTCTTGGAGAATCTGGACCGTAGGATCAAGAAATCTCGGAGAGAAGAAGAAGCCGGAGGGTATTGGTGATGAAAATTTTCTTTTTAATTTTCTTGTCTACAATTAATTAGTTGAAATATTCAATACCTATTCCGATGGCAACGTAATTAATAGCTTAATTAATTATAATCACTCATATTTTTATGAGTTTGCGTTGAAATTCAATTATACTATAGTTATCTACACTACAGTATGTAATGCATGACAATTCAAATCCACGTTTGTTTCATCAATTTTATATTATCATCCTTTTATTCATAATTCAGCCTTTTTAAATTATTTAAAACGTTTCATAATTCGATTTTGAATTAGTACTAAATATCATTTAAAATTAGCTTCTATTTCCAATGGAAGCAAACGTCCTTGGTGGATGGTGTCAATATATTAAAAATAAATAAATAATAGACCAACGAACAACCTCTACATATATACATACATTATATATATAACCAGTCGAATTTGTGGACCGGGCTTGATGCGGCCCATTGGTCTTTTATTAAGCGAATTGGGCCTGGTTTTGTTCAGTCCGATGTGGCTTAGACTGATTTGTCCTTGGCCCATTTGTGAAATCTTTTGGACTTTTCCTAACATCAAATAATGTAGGGTGGGTGTTTCGATTCCATTCCAATTTTTGTTAAAAAATTAGATCTTAAGAAAATTTCGGTTTTTCATTTTTTTTTAAATTTGGTTTGGTTGCTTTGGTTTTGAGAAATTCGATTTTCTAAAAAAATATATTTTGAAAATTTTGGACGATTCAATTAAAAAAATATTATATTTTTCGATTCGTTATGATTCGGTTACGAGAAAAGTGTATCGAAACGTCCACCTCTAGTCATTATAGTTGCATGGAAAATTAGAAATTGACAATTGGACCAATTGCTTTTATAAATGGAGACTGTGACACTAATGGAATGATGTCAAACGGTCCATACAAAATATATTGTAACAATTACTAGCACAGCGGCTTCGGTCGTGTGTATAATATTTACCTTAAGGTCCAAGCAACTATTTGCGTGCCAAAATCACCACGTGTCACTATCTGCCTCCGCGGCATATGAATGACGCAATTTCGTTACAAATGAAAAATTATCCGACAAATTATATCCGAGGACTATCCACTGAATTGATATTTGGATTTGTTGTAGGGGTATTTTATATACGGAGAGACTACGGATGATTATTCCAGTTTCGGTGTACAAAATAAAATAAAATCTTAAACGAATCGAATCTAATTTAAAAAATGGGATATGGTGTTTCTAAAACAGATTAAACGAATTCAATATTAAAATTACAAACAAATGGAAATAAAAGTTTATTTAGAAAATAAATAATTTTTTTTCTTAATGAAACTGAAAGATTCTGATTATTCTGTTGTGTCATTATAATTTATCTGCATCATTGATGTTATCGTGAAACTGTCCCCTTTTTTTTGGTATGAAGTGAAACTGTCCACTTGTATGCATGTATGCACGTATGCATGTATGCTAAGTGTGTATGTGTGTGTATGTATGTATGTATGTATGGTCATGCATGCATGTTCTTGGTTATTTGGACAAAGTTAAAAAGGAAAATCAACTAGGCATGTTCAAAAGGAAAATCAACTAGGCAGGACCGTCTATTACCAAGTGCAAAAGGTGCGCCGGAACAGGGCCCCATAAATTTGGGGACCCCATTTTTAAAGTTATTTATTAATATTAATTATATATTATTGTAATAATAAATATAAATTTGAAGAATATCATTTTAATTTAACATTGATTGATCGAAGAAAGAAAGAAGACTACTCTCCCAAAATGCCTATGGAAGGTGGGTGGACATCAAATGGATTCCATTTTAAAAATCATTACTCCAATCAATTTTTTGATATAATTATTATACATTATATTATTGTACAAATAAATATGATATTATATAAATTATCTTATAATGTAAAATTTTTATTAATTCAAATTTAATATTAAATTGATTTTATAATTGTTAAAATATATCAATAATAATTAAAAAATTATTTAAAAATTGAAAATGAATTGTATTTATTTTAAAAAACCTATATTTATGGATTTTAAAAAAAAAAATATTATTCTTATCATTAATAAAGAAAAACGTTACAAAATTTATTGATTATATTTAAATAATTTTTTTATAAAACTTAATGATTTTTAAAATCATTATTAATTTTATTAATAATTTTTTATTATATTAATTTATCTATTTTTATTAAATATTTTTAATAATATTATTTTTATTATATAAATTTATAGTTTTTATCGATATAATTTTGTATAATGTACAGAGCCTCCAAAAAAATTGAGACGGCCCTGCAACTAAGGATATGCTTAGGTCGGAAAAAGAAAAATGTCGTAAAGAAGGAAAATGATTGGTGCATGTACTATACTAATATGTATATATATGACATCATTTCAACATAGAAATCGAGAATATCCTAAGATCTTCTGGATATATAGTGGGATTCGCTAGCAACAAGGCAACAAAAATTTAAATTACCTATTAATTAGATTTGCCTATATGTTAGGGTATATGTATGCATACATATATATGTTTAATAGATATTCTGACTTAGATTTTTGAGCCTAGAAGCTTCCATATATATACACACACAATCATTCAACTTTTTTCGGTCGGTTTAAACATGTTGAAGTATACCATTGGAATCAAAAGACAAAGATTAATTTATCGAAATATAAGAACGAAAAAATATTATGAAATTATATTAAATTTCTTTAAAAAAATGGAAACCCAAAGAATGAGCAAACATTTCATCTTTTTTCTCTACCAAAACTTGTTAGGATCTAATTTTAGTGACTTAGTTCCACTTTTTAATCCTTAAAATTTAACTACATGATACATAATAGGAAAAATAACATATAAGTATTTAATTTTTTTATAAAAATTCTATATAAATATTTGAACTATAAAACTTTCATATAAATATATAAATTTTTAAAAATCATATATAAATATTTAGTTACTTACACTCTTGAAATTTTTTCTAAATATATACAAATTTGATGTATTTTTCAAATAAAAATAAGTGATATTATTAATGAATTTTGGATTTATTTGAGAATTTTTTATAAGTTTAGGTATTTATGTAGTGTTAGAAAAATTTAGATATTTATATAGAAATTTTATAATTGAGATATGTACATTGGAATTTTTGTAAAAATGTAAATATTTATATGCGAATTTTTTTTTATAACGTCTCTTTGTTTTCACGCGCGTGCAACTCAGTCTCGAAGTTATTGATTCTCGCGCGTGGTTCCCGCTATGACCTAATACCGTTGCTTTTGTCGCCTATGGGTGCGTGCATCCAACGCTCCTCCCAACGCGCGTCGGTCCTTTACCAAAATGATCCGACATTGATTCGGTCGCAATTCGCATGTCCCTTTTACTCGTGATAGGTGAATAAAAATATTCGATTAGTTAATATATACATTTTTTTTTTAAAAAGTAGATAAGATCTTTTTATATAAAAAATTATGATGGATAACAAACCAATTTAAATTTTTTTAAAATACATGTTAACACCTCTATTTTTCGTGTCAACTGCCTTGGCCATGCCGTGTTTATAACTGTATATAAAATGTACTTTAAATATACTTGTATCAATTGGATAGTATATATATATAGTGTGTATACACACACATTATTATTATTATTTTTTGATAAAATACACACATATTATTTATATATATTAGCAACATCTTTAGTATAGTATTAGGTAAAGAAACATTATATCTAACCCACACGCCAATTATCATGTGTTGCTTTCTTTTGTTTTCAATAAATAGTTTTCGGGCTTCATAACCAATTAAGTATATAATTTGACGCACATTCATATAATTTGGCACTTATTTTGTCTTTAATATATACCAATATTGCATGTCGCTTTCCAAGCCATATGTATTGAATGTATTATTGAAGGATCATTCATGCATTTATGTATCGTACAATTAATCAAATGATTTAAATTGGAGATGGTCTCGCCACTACTCTTCGTGGAGCCTTTATAACAATATGTATGCATGTTAATACACATGTAGAACATCAGAGACAGCTTTGCTTTATGAATGATACGACGCATTTAAAAAAAAAAAAAAGACAAAGTTGTAAATCATTTCAAAATTTGTAAAAAAAATATTATGTACTCTCGAATGTCTCGTATATATATAACAAAATGAAACTAAAAGGATCTCATCGTTTCTTTTAGAATATATATTGTTATAAAAATTTATGAAGTTTTGAACTCAAAATAATTAGCAGTACAATAGTGCCATGCCAATATCATAATTATAATGGGCATATAATTTTTATATAAACTTTTGCAGATTACTATAGTTACCAAATAATATGTAATGCACAAGCCATAAGCTAAAGAATCAATCTATTGAATTCTCAATACGTCGTACTCTCAGAA